GGCTCTGAGCACATACCTCATGGATTGAGGTGCATACAATCTCACAACTCAGGACAAGTGGTTGCTCATGGAGATAACTCTTCTCATCAACCTTTGCAAACACAGAGCAGTCAGAAATGCTTGTGCTCACTTTTTCTCACTGATCAGAAGTACACAGATAAAGATCATGACAGATAACATTGTATGCATGTACTTCATAAATCATCAGAAATGTTCCAGATCATCTTACAGCTATGGAACTGATGTATTTACCACAATGTTCACTCTCCATCCCGATACTCTCGCTCAAGCTTCACACCTTAATGGTTCTAACATGTGGAGAGTTCCCGCTCCGAGGAAGAACAAAAAGTGTTGTTACATGGTCGGTAATCAGTTACTTCTTATATCTACCTGCAGAAGTGGTTCAGGTTTCAGGTTTGCTGAGAGTCCAGGCAAAGTATCTCAACATACACTACTTCTCTTGGTGATGTTAGTTACATGTTGACTTTGAAGAAGACAAGGCTATCCCTTGGTTTGCTCAAGATATATCTGGCCGAGTAACTTTCCATCCACAAGTAGAGTAATACTCAGTTTTCACTCTTCCCAACCACAAAGAGATTTATCCAGGGCATAATGAACCTATTTTCCCCAATTCAGGTGCCTCATTCCAACATGTAATCTAAAACTAGTTTTAAAGAGCCTAACTAGACTGCCCTTTGAACCTGTGGCCACTTATTCACTTACACACCTGTCAGTGAAGACAATACAGCTGGTCCTCGAGTTATGAATGCATCGATTTACGACCGTTCATATTTACGACCAACCTCCTATACAGCCAGAACCCAAGTTACAAATGAAATCCGCACTTACGAACAGCACGGCCATACGTCAGTGAATGTAAGCCGACTTACGAACACATCGAGTTACGACCAAGTGCTTGGAACGTAACTCGTTCGTAAGTCGGGGACCGGCTGTATTTCTCATGGCCATCATGTTAGCAAGGAAAATAAGGGAAATATCTGCACTAACAGCACAACCCATTTACAGAATTCCTTCATCACAAGGTTATTTTCAAACTTATGAATAAACCATACCCAAAGTTTATTAATAAGTTAGCCTCATCTTTTCATATGAACCAACCGATTTATCTCCCAGCCTCTTAGCCCGAGCTTCACTATGATAACAGAGAAGTCACATTGCACACACTAAATGTTAGGAGAGCTCTGACTTTCTACCTGGACAAGAAAAAGACTAAGGAAATCTCCCAAGCTCTTCCTTTTCAATAATCATGCAGAAAGGTCTATTGGCACAGCAATATCTGCCCACAGGCTCTCTAAATGAATCTCAAACTATATTAAGCTCTGCTATCATGTTTGCAATATAGTGTCTCCATGTTCTGTGTGCAAATAACAGATTAAGTCCATTTCTTCTTCTGTCACCTTCTTTCAGAATGACTCAATTTCAGAAATCTACAGAACAACTTGGGTTTTTGTATATATCTTTGCAAAATACTGTATGATTATTGGAGACCAGATGAAATTAATATGTAGTAGATTTAAAACAAAGCAAAGGAAATATTTCTTCACAAACACAAACAACCTGTGGAACTCCTTGCCCCAGAGGATGTTGTGAAGACCAGGACTTTAACAGGGGTAAAAAAAGAACAAAATTAATTAATGGAGGTCAGGGCCATCAATGGCTATTAGCCAGGATGGGTAGAAATGGTGTCCCTGGCCTCTATTTGTCGGGCTGGGAATGGGTAACGGGGAGGGATCACTTGATGATTACCTGTCTGTTAATTCCCACTGGGGCACCTGGCGTCGCTGTTGGCAGACAGGATACTGGGCTAGATGGACTTTGGGTCTGACACAGTAGGGCTGTTCTTATGTTCTTGGGTTCTTATGACTGCTTCTAATGCTAGCTTCAGCTCCAATCTATCCATAACTGAGTCAATTCTGAAGCCCAATGTCCCATTAGGGATACTGCTCCAGAGTCACCTACAGTGGAGCATATTTAGGGACACTACTTGAAGAAGTAGTAATTACCATGTGTGGTAATGATGGCTTTTCAAGTTGTGCCCCCCTTTGGGTGCTCCACAACCCACTTTCCTCTCCTCTACTTCAGAATTCTTGATAGGGACTTTGCAGTAAAGAAGGAATTTCAAGTGTTAAATAGCCTCAAAGTGCAGAAATGTACAGGCCAAAAATACTGCTACAAAGATTTCTCATCAGAAGCACAGCGATGTACATATGCCTACAGTGGAGCACCCATAGGGTTGCACTTCTTGAAGAATCATTGCTTCTGTACAAGGTGAGTAACTTCTTCCCTCACTTATTAGTGGAGTAATATGCCAGTTGTGTAGATTGCATTTTTGATAGAGGAATACTTTAAACATGTACTTGTAATGCATACTGCAGAACTAGTAATGAACCTCTACTTTGACACAGTGTCCAGAATGTTTATTGTTAATTTTAAAGCACTGCCAACCAGCTGACAAGATTACGTGCAGCACTCTGATACTTCTCTTATAACAGCTGCTCCTTCCTCATGTGCACTGTGCAATGGAAGTCCCACTGGAGGACTCACAGCACTACTTTCCTCAAGACTCCAAAAGCTCCTCTTGTCAATGACCATTCTCCCTCGGTTCTGTGCCTGTTGCCTGCTTCCAGTCTGCATGAAGCAGGGGTGAGAGCCATTCTCCACTGTATAACTGAGTTGAAATAAATCAGCTCAGGGAGCTGTTCCTTTTGGCTAGCTTTGACAAAGCTCTGCTGGACAGCTCAGTTGTTGAGGAGCAAAATTAGGTGTCTCATACCTCATTCCTGACTTATTTAAAATAAGTGTACATTTAAATTGTAACTGCTCTTGGATTTTTCATTTGTAACTTAATTGGAAATTCTCATGCTGAATGTATGGCAAAACTGAGACTTTAAACCAGTGTTTGCTTTTGTAGGGTTAAATTGTGCCCTTGGATATGTGCATATCCGTGTTAGTCAAGCCAGATGGGGTTGTACTTGTGTATCTGAGGATAGACAAATGTGTGAATTCATGATTGTGACTTTTTGTGGTGTGGATTTGGATAATGACGAAGTGTGACAAGGTAATACAGGGACAATATACATATTACATTATAAAGGATATCTGTGTCAGAGCTGCTGACTTCATACTAAATGTATCATGTGTTTTTGTTTGGAAAAATAACAAGCAAGATACTCACTGTTTTTTTTCCCCACAGGGAACTGCTTCTGGCATTTTGGCTTACTGCTCAAACTAATTTCCTTGCTTATATGTATATATATTCTAGCAAATTCTCAGGTTTGTAAATTATACTTATTTGTACCCTTAGAAAATTAATCATAGCCTGTGTATTCAATTTGGAAAGCCATTCAGAATAGAATATTACGATCAGTTTTCTGTTACTTACAGGAGAGCTTGTGGGGTAGGGGATTGAATATTTAAATGCCTCCTTTTCATATCTGATTTTATATAGGAAGCTAGATGTTTCAGTATCCTACTTTTTTTTCCTCACACCTCTCTTAAAATTCATAGTTCTTTCAGACAATGTTATGTAATTTTTTTCCTCACACTTCTCTTAAAATTCATAGTTCTTTCAGACAATGTTATGTAAACTGAGAGCTTAGCTTTACTGATTTTAGTTATCATAAAAGTATCTCTGTAAAACCACACCTTAATACAACCCTTCCTTTATTTATCTTTCAGGTTGTATCTAATTTATTGGGATAGAGAGGGGAATAGTGCTGCTAGAGCTTATGTCTGATATAATTGGAGAAGAACAAGCTACATTTGTGTGCTCATTACTGACATAATTTTTGGCATAAGGATATATGCCCCGGATTAATTTCAAGGCTCCCCCATAGCAACTCCAGGCAACTCAGGTGGGGGGAGGCTAGTTCCTAGTCCCATCCATTGTAGGGCGTGGAGCCAGCTCGTGAACACATAATGAATTTTGCTAAGTGGTCCGGTCCGTCTGCAAAAATTATTGCCAACCCCTGCTCTATGAAATTCCTAATTTTGAAAGCCATTTGTCTATTGGAAACAGGAAGTTCTGCACTCTGAGGAGGATGAGAGTTTCTTATTGGTGAAATTCATGCTTACACAAATTTCCAGCACAAGGGTTATGTATCTCTTAAGATTTGTTGAAGATTTAAGTGCTATATGAGTCGTGTCCAGACTTTGTGTAGGCTTTCTGTATCTATGTGAATTTCATGCCTAGTGCATGACTTATCATGTACTTTGAACATACAGGGTACAGGGTGAAAGGTAGAATTTGCCCCTTACTTGAGTAAACAAACAAAAAAAATCACCACTCCAATTAGTTTTAAACTCTAAATATTTGTCTCCATTTGAGCCCACAGTGCAAAACTGACTGGTGAGAGGAAAGAAAAATGGTAAATGCTTTTATCAATGGGTAATTAGAGGGAAATGTTTTTTTTTTCTCAAAAGTCTGTTTAGGAAATGACTGCTTTGTTCAAAACATCAGGTGCCTTTCAGAGCACTTTTGTCATTGTGCATAGAGAATAACATTATTCACAGAAATATTCAAATTATTATTTGTTTGTATTAACAGAGCACTTAAGTCATGGACCAAGATCCCACTAAGCTAGTTTTGATGGAAACAGAATAAAATTACAGTCTGTTCTGCAAAAAGCTTGCAATCTAACACAATATGTCATATATCTGACACATTTATAATAGTGCCCAATAGCATGGAGCAATGTTAAAACTCCAGCTTCTTAGAATGATTGAAACAAGATCAAGCACTGGTGTAGCTGGCTGAAGAATGTGGGGAAAAGTTTTAACGTAATTTTTAGTTGAAATTTAGAGTTTTTCCAGAAACTTCAATTATCGTTTAAGTTGATTTAAAAAAAACCCCAAATCCAGGAACACTTTTATGCTCCTTTTTTAAACACTTCTAGTCATTAGTAAAAATTTTAATTTGCTGGAGAAATGGTAGACTGGCTTCCTTCTTCCCCACAACTGGAGGAACACTCTGCTAACTAATTCATGGAAGGGTATAAACAATGAACCCTGAGGGGTATAAACAATGAACCCTGAGAGAGAGACCATGAATTCATTCCTTGTGGCTGCTAAGAACTGCACTGACCACAGATAGGGAGGGAGCATTAGGAAATACTATATAGTATATCACGATACAATCAGAGGCACACAGAATAATGAGGTTGGCGTCTCCAATGTTTGTTTATGGGAAAGGGGGTCAGGCAGCAGTTTGGGGATATTGTCTAGTGTAGTGATCACCAACCAGAATCTACTGGTAGATCTTGGAGCTTCTGACAGGTGATCCTGACTGGTTGGGCCAAGAAGCTATCAAGCGCTAGCACTGCAGTTGCCCCTCCACCCAGTGTCGTGCTGCTCCTGCCCACTGCCTTGGAGCTGCCCTCCTGGGAGCCTCCTTCTTGCTATGCAGGGTGTGGGAGCGAGAAGAGGGGGGATGCTGATATCAGGGTTCCCCCCGCCCCCACCCCTGTACTCTATATCCACACAGAGAGAAGGGAATGAAGGAAGCTTGGCAATGCAAATCTCTGTCACTCTCTGTGTGTCAGTGTGAGAATGATAGACACACAGAATCACACACTGTCCTTCGCACTCATCTCCAGACCCAACACATATGGGTCGGAGGGAGGGTGTTGTTTCTACTTTCACTGCTTGCAAAGTGGGTTATTTTTGGTTTTTGACTAGTCTGTGCATTTCATAATTTTCATCTCTCTTACGTTTAAATTTAATTCTGTGAGTTCTAAAATGCCTAACCTGTCATGGCTGGAGTAATTATCCCTTTGGTAATTGCTGCTCCTGGAAGTGGCTGGCATGTCCCCACAGCTCCTGAGAGAGGCAGAGCAGGGGGTCTCCACATGCTGTCCTTGCCTGCAAACACCACTCCTGCAACTCCCACTGCCCAGTCAGAGCCTGTTTCCGGAATCCCTGTCCCAACCCTGAACTTCCTCCTACACCCAGTCGCCTGCCCCAGACACGAGTCCCCTGCACCCAAACTCTTTCTCAGAGCTTGCACCCTGAGCCCGGAGCCCCTCCCACGCTCTGAACGCCTTGGCCCAAGACCAGAGCTTGCATCCCAACTCTCAACGCCAGTCTGGTGAAAGTGAATGAGGATGGGTACGCCAGTCTGGTGAAAGTGAATAAGGATGGGGAGGAAGTGAGGATGGAGTGATCAGGGTGAAGCCTCAGAGAAGAGGTGGAGTAGAGGCAGGGCCTCAAAGAAGGGGTGGGAAGGAAGTGGGGCAAGGATATTTGGGTTTGAGGTAGATCTTACACTGCACATAAATTGAAAAAGTGATACTGTGGTTAAAAAGGTTGGAGACCACTGATCTAGTGAGTATCGGACTTGGCTATCTAATACTGTTACTAAAATAAGCTAATTCAATTTGTATGAAACAAGCAACACATTTTTACTTCTTCCATATCTGAGAGTATGCAGTGTTTAAATTTAATGTAAGGAATGGGAAGAGTGCTGCTCCTTAACTGTACATCTTTCCGGTTTTGCCATTCAAAAATTTATCTGCAGTCATTTCAGATGTTTGTTTTAAAGGAAGGAATTTCTTTCCGACTCTACGTGGTAGAATCTGACACAGCCAGTGTAGACAAATCTCCTAGTTGTTTTAAAATTGATGTGAAAATTCAACTATTAAACCAGCATTAACTGACATAAGTATTGAGCCTTATCTTAAGAGGGCAGAATATTCACAAGTGCTGTTGATTTTATTTTGAGATGTGGCCAGTTTAAACTGATTTAGCATGGGAATTATGTTATTAAAAGATAATGAAATTAATTAGACTTATTAAATTGGGTTGAACGCATTGTTAATATTCTTGATGTGTTTATATTTTACAGGGCATATTTGAGAAGATTTTTTCTCTATGGCCATTGTCCAAGTGTTTTGAGCTGAATGGAAATGTTTATGAGTGGTGGTTTAGATGGAAGTTAGACCGCTACGTATGTAATGCTTTCATAAACTATTTGTGATCTTGCATTTTTAAGAAGTATTCTTGAACATATTTTAACTTTTAGAATCAATTTCTCCCTCTTTGTCTGGAAAAAAGAAATCTGTAAATTCCAGCCTGGTTTGTTGTGGGGTCAGGGGGTTTCCTCTTTTGCTTGAAATATTTGTCAAAAGATGGAAGCTGACTTCTGTTATGTGCTGAGCCTGTTCAGTAGGGGTGAGGAACCTTTTTTGGGTCAAGGGCCGCTGATCCACCGAAATATCAGTTGCAGGCTGCACAAAAGTCAGAAGCAAAACAGAACAAAAACCCTCACTGATGTGGCCCCTGACTAAGGGAGAGAGACACTCCCCACATTCCTCTCATACACCAGAGCTCAGGGAAGGCCTACGCTAGTAGATTTTGTGTGCTTCAGGACCTCAATGGGGATGGCCGGGGAGTTGGAGCACCAGCAGACTCACCAATGCTAGGGCGAGCCCTTAGCTTCAGGGGCTGGATGCAGGCAAGCTGTGGGGTGCATCCAGCCCCCAGGCCTTAGGTTTCCCACCCCTGCTATAAAGTGTCCATAATCAAGGGTCTGTATATTCTGCCTTGTCCCAGACTTAAATTTTGCAGGGAGACAACTGACTTCTGTAGCACTTCAAAGCTAAATTCTAAGGTAAATTTAAATTTCTATAATAATGTGAAATAAATGGTTAATCTTGTTTGATTATAAACCTAAGGGAACCTCCAAAGAAACTTTTATTATATAAACAACTTAATTTGTAAATTAAGGACATACCCATGGGAGCGGTCCTTTGAACACTTTGTGATGTGAAAATCAGAAGGTCTTGATATGGAATGTATATGCTGTTTTTACCTTATTGTTTATAAATGTATTTTAAAAACAGTGTTTTAAGACACCTTTTTAAGGAAGCATTTGTTTTCCTCTACCATGTAGTATGCTAGCAGAGGGAGATAATCAGCAGCACACCATGCTGCTAACTGTAATAAGTGCTTGCATTTTTTTCATTCCCAAGGGAGCAGTGTACCTAACAAAACTTCAGATCTCACAAATGTTGCAGTTTGTGAAGTATAAATTGCATTCTGGGGAGGTGCTAAAGAATAAGCTCTGGAACACCAAAAATTTTAAACAGGCAGCAGCAGTAAGGCTCTGAACGATACATAGCATGATGTTAATGGAGGAGTTTGGAGTAACATCATATACCACTATTTTCTCATGTACCGCTCTCATCTGTGATGTAGAAGGGCACCCTTGAATGTTCCTACCTACTGAGGTCGGGGAAGGCCAGAGAAACTCCCCCTTAAAAGCCTCTTTTACTAGACAGATCATTTCCATGAGGTATACATTTTGTTGTAATTACTGCAGATTTACAGAGAACAAAGGGTGCTGACCCTAAAAAGTATCTGGTACTTGAAATTTGAGTGTCATGCATTAATGGTACCTAAAACAATAAAATTTCAGTATTTGAGAGTAATATCAGAGAGCTTACTCTATTTCTTGAAATATAACTTAAAGTAGTTTTTCTGGATTGGGTTATGATATTACAAATATCTTAACAACTCTGTTACCTGGGTGTTTTTACCTGGGTTTATTATATGCCACGAGTGAGTATTTACACTGTTCTGCATTTGCAGGTAGTCTTTCACGGGATGACATTCGCTTTTATTTACCTGGCATTACAGAAACGTCAGATGCTTTCGGAAGGGAAAGGAGAGCCTCTCTTCTCCAACAAAATCTCAAATTCTTTTCTTTTTATTTCTGTAGTTTGCTTTTTGGTAAGTCCACAATACAAATTGCAATTTTGTAAATGTAAAACAGTCATCCTAAGGATAGTCAGCTTTTTTGAGAAGTTCTTGTGTAGCAGTGAGTGGACATTTCACGAGAGGGGGGTCTTGGGCTGTAGAAGTTTATTTCACCTTGTAAGCAAGAGCACAGTGTGGCTCACACTCAGTCTCCAAGGAAGGCTATGCCCCTTTGCTACAGGCTGTATTTTGTAAACAGCTCTTATCCATCCTAAATCTTCACTGGACTTTCTTTTTCTTTTAGTCTATTGTAGATTTAAATATTACAGCTTCTCCAGTTTATTATCTTGGGTGGTCTTTGTAAGATCATCTGGTAGGTTACCTTATAGACAGTTAAGAAATGAGCTAATGTCTAAATATGTTTAACAAAATTGTGAACAATGCTGTTGTTTTTTAATGTTAGAGTACAAATGATTACTGCATTCTGCTGCAAAGCCATGTTTGAAAATGCGTAACTAATTAGAAAGAGTAAAGAATTGACTCCTCCCTCCCTACACCACACACATCTGCAGTATTAACAATTTTTAAAATGTTTTATCTTGCTGTTACATTTTAAAATACATCTCTTAAACAGTCATCAAACAGACTAATATGTATGTTTGTATCTTGTAGACCTACTCTATCTGGGCTAGTAGCTGTAAAAACAAAACTGAGTGCAATGAATTACATCCTTCTGTTTCTGTGGTGCAGGTAATTTATGCTCCTTTTTCTTTAGTGACAGAATCTAGGATTCTATTGAAATATAGTTTGTCTCTGATGCCTTAGCACTTAACATCAGTTGATTAACTTCATTTTCATGAAGGAATGGGGAAAATGGCTTGTCCCATTGCTGCTGCTTTTTTCTTCACCTATGTAATATAAAGTTTAAAATTTTTATTTCCATATTGTGGCAGTACACTTTCATTCTATTCTGTGTATAAATGTAATAGTGTAGCTGTATCAATGTGTACATTTTATATACATAGTAATATATTGCTACATACGTATATACACTACTTATATATCCTTGTGTGAAATAAATATAGATATTTCTATATATAAAAATTAAAATACGCATTCTTGGCCATTCACAGTACCTCAATATTAATTCATATACACTAGAACTTCGGCGTTACAAACTAACCAGTCAGCCACACACCCCATTTATAACTGGAAGTATGCACTAGGCAACAGCAGAGACAAAAACAAAGTAAATACAATACAGCACTGTATTAAATTTAAACTACCAAGAAAAAGAGAGAAACATTTTAATTCTGCATTGTAACGTTTCAAAGCTGTATTAAGTCAGTGTTCAGCTGTTAACTTTTGAAACAACAACCTTAACGTTTTGTTGAGAGTTGCAAACAACCTCCATTCCTGAGATGTTCATAACTTTGAGGTTCTACAGTATATAGTGTGGCCTTCATCCTGCAAACGTTTATGCACATACTTAATGATACTACTCACAAAGTATGTGTGTATGTATATATATATATATATATATATATATTCTGTGTATATATAAATAAAATTTATAATATAGATGAAATATTTAATTAAATTACTCATTTCCATAATTAATAATCTCTTTTCAATTACTTTTAACACTTTCTTTGTTTAGATTTTAGCTTTCATCCTCATCAGGAATATTCCAGGATATGCCCGTTCTGTATATAGTTCATTTTTTGCCTGGTTTGGCAGAATTTCTCTAGAGGTAAGTAGAGTGATAACAATTGCATTAATAGTGTTTCATTTTAGGAATCTATAAATGGTGAACTTTATAATGTATATGGTAGTGTAACTTTATAAATAATAAACATATTTTTGGTTCTTTTGCTTTGATATTAAATTCTGGTTGTTGATATTCTTCATGAGAGAGACAAGATGAAGTAATATCTCTTACTGGATCAACTACTGTTGGTAGAAGAGACACATTTTTGAGCTTCACAGAGCTCTTCTTATGTCTGGCAAAGGTAACTAGAGTATCACAGCTAAATACTAGGGACATATTGTTAGGTATAAGCAGTTAACACGTTGCAAGAAATCACTTAAAATGAAGTGGACCAACAATACCTCTTCAGTTATAGGTTAAAGAAGAATTAGTATGTTATAAATTATAATGAGTCATAAACCAGACTTTTTGAGACTTATTGTTAATGTCTAGCAGATTTATAAGTTTAAGTTTGTAACAGTCTGTAACCTACTAACCCTCCTATGTTTTATGGCTACAGAGGTGTTAATTGCCAGGTTCGTTTTGAGTGTTTTTTTTCCAGCATGTTTTAACCTCTTATGCTTAATAACTTGTTCCATCTTCTGTTTAGCTGTGAAACTAGTAAGAATGGCCTTAACAAGTAAGACCAATGGTCCATCTAGCCCACTATCTTGTCTTGCAACAATGTCCAATGCCAGATGCTTCAGAAGGAATGATCAGAACAGGATGGTAATTTTTGATCCGTTCCCTGCCATCCCTTCATTGCTATTGACAGTCAAAGGCTTAAGGAGCTCCAAAGCATGTGATTGCATACCTGATCTTCTTGGCTAACCACCATTGATGGACTTATCCTCCACGTACTTATCTAATCCTTTTTTTAAAATTTGGTTATACTTAACTCATTTTTTTTTAAACTTTTTGACCTTTGGCATTAAGTTTTGTAGGTTGACTGAAAGAAGTATTTTGTTTTAAACCTGCTGCCAATTAATTTAATTGGGTAACCCCTGGTTCTTCATTGAGAGGCGTCACTGGGAGAGCTCCGCATCAGGAGTTGAGCGCCCCAGCGCTTCTTGACAGATTTTTCTCAGCAATGTATCGGGGGCCACACATGCGCGGCACGTGCAAACCTCCCTCAGTACTATCACGCATGCGCGGTCCCCCCTCTCTTCAGTTCCTTTCTACTGCCCCCCCCTCCCCCCCACCCGCCTAAAGACTTCTCACAAATTTATTTCTTCAAATTGTTGTTTAGATATAGTTTATTTCCACATTTCTTGTTAATAGTTAGCTAATTTACTTGTTTGGTTTATTTTTTTTTTAAAAAAACACCTGCAGTCTTGAAATGTAAAAGCTGCAGGCTCTGCAAGAATTTAATGCCTGTCACTGACTGCGCTAAGCCGAAAACGCGTAAAGACCCCCTCTCCCCCGCCCCGCCCCCCCGGCTTCAGACGGAACTCTCCTGCTCTCGCAAAGACTTCTCCTCACAAATTTATTTCTTCAAATAGTTGTTTAGATATAGTTTATTTCCACATTTCTTGTTAATAGTTAGCTAATTTACTTGTTTGGTTTTTTTTTTTTAAAAAAAAACACCTGCAGTCTTGAAATGTAAAAGCTGCAGGCTTTGCAAGAATTTAATGCCTGTCACTGACTGCGCTAAGCCGAAAACGCGTAAAGACAGACAGCTGAGACTTAAAATGTCCTTTTCTGACAAGGACAAACACAATACCTCTGACCTGGGCTTGGGTCTGAGCAATACACCAATGAGACAAACGTCCCCATAGCCATCAAAGGCAGGGACAAGCTCTCTCGATTAGCAGCCCAGAAAGTGGCACTCTAAGGGGAGAAAGTCACACTGCTCAGTCAGTAACCGCCTGAGCACTTTTGACTTCCCAGGCACTTCAGGTGAACACAAAAAGGGCAATAAAAGTGTAAAAAAGTCTGCCCTTACTGAGGCAACGGGTCTTCCTGCACTCACACTCTGCACTGTCTGACATGTCAGTGCTTGCCCTCCCCCGGGCCATAGGAGATCTTCCTGCTCCTATCGCAGCATCGAGGAATCCCCTCACAGACCAACCGCTGGGTGCTGGCCCCCTTCTCCCATTACCAGGGGCAATACCTCAGATGAGCATTGTCTTAGCAGCTCGGGCAATTTGTTTACAGTCATCAGAGCTATCCATGCTGCGTACTCTTCTCATTAGCCACAAGGACCACAAAGATCTGGGAATTTCTCCCACTTTACATTCACATAATTTGACTGATAACATACATCCTCAATCTCCATTCTCTGATTACTCTGACTTCCTCTCCCCCCTCTCTGAGGACAGGAGGAATGTTTACCTGCTTTTTCACCTCAGCCATATATGGCGAGCTCTGCCTGGTCTGCTTATCAGCAACAACCAGATTTTCTTAGAGTACAAATGGCTCCCTGGGCTCCTTATTTTTGGATGCCACCTCCTATGCTTTGCCCCCCACAGTGGCAAATGTTCAATCAACCACCTCAACAATATAAAAAGAGTCCATATAAGACCAAGCATATGTCAAAACCCTGCTCTCCTTTAAACCTGTCATCCCACACCTTTATGAGGAGAACTGACAGTGAAAGCCATTGCTCTTCAATGTCAGCTTCTACATCTATATTACATCCAAACGCAGCCTCAGCCATAGGGCAGGTATTGTTACCACCTGCTACTCATACTACCAATGATCTCTCCTCTTTCCAGGATTTATTTAAAAGAGTTGCTATTGATTTGATTATATCTATGGAAGAAGTTCAGGTTTCTCAACATGAACTCACTAACATCCTCCAGCCCAGTACAGCAACAAAGATGGTGCTTCCTATTAACCCAGCCATCTGGGAGCCAGCTAAAACCCTATGGCAAACACCTGCATCCTTCCCACCAACATGCAGGAAAGCTGATCGAAAATACTGTGTTTTCCCCCAAGGGTTCTCAATTCCTCTTTTCTCACCCTGCACCCAACTCCTTCATAGTAGACACTGCACATCAGAGAAACAAACAGAAAAATCGTTCTACCCCATCCAAAAGGACAATAAACGTCTGGACATGTTCGGAAAGAAGGTTTATGCCTCTGCCACTCTTCAAATGAGAGTGGCAAACTATGCTGCTTTATTAAGTAAATACGACTTCAATAATTATACAAAATTCAATACTTTTATTGAAGATATCCCTGACAGCAAAAAGGCACAGTTTCAGGCTCTTGTTTCAGAAGGCTAGATAATATCGCAAATAGGCCTGCAAGCTGCACTTGATGCAGGAGACACAGCTACAAGGACTACGGCAACAGTCACTATGAGACGAGCCTCGTGGTTCAACTCTTCTGCTTTTCCCCGCCAAGTGCAACCATTGGTAGAAGACCTTCCGTTTGATGGAGAAAAGCTATTTTCTGCAAAAACCAATGAACTGCTCCAATCGATAAAAGAGTCCAGAGCCATATTGCGATCACTCGGTATTCAAACCCCTATGACGAGACAGAGACAGTACAGGTACCAGCCATATCAGAGACCCAGGGTACCAACAGTGGGGGCGCAGCAGGCAACATAGACGGCACCCTCAGACTAAACCCCAACTGCTCATCCCAACCCAGCAAGCAAATCCAAAACAACAGTGGAGAGATGTAAAACTACACCACATGCACCAGAGCTTGAGATTGGTTCCAAACCTTTGCTATTTCGTTTATTACCTTACTTTCAAATTGGTTATCTATTACCACTGATAAGTGGGTAACTCAAACTATCTCCCTAGGTTATACCATCCCTTTTCTCTCTTCTCCCCTTCCCCTCCCCCCCCCAACCACCCATCCCGTCCCTCTTCAGGGACCCCTCTCACAAAATTATAGTACAACAAGAAATTGACCACCTTCTCAAATTAGGAGCCATAAAACCAGTATCCCAAGAGTTCCACGGAACCAGTTTCTACTCACATTATTTTCTCGTAGAGAAGACAGGTGCTTGGAGGCCGAGTCTTTATCTTCGGTTACTAAATAAATACATAAGGAAACAAATTCAAAATGGTCACCCTAAATACTATTATCCCAGCTCTGGAGTCTGGTGACTGGTTTTCTTCTTCCGACCTGCAGGATGCATAGACATTTTCTTCGTTTCACTTTAGGTCTCCAATATTACCAGTACACAGTACTGCCCTTTGGTCTCTGCACTGCACCAAGTGTATTCACGAAGATGCTAGCTGCTGTCGCTGCTCACCTCACACTACCATACCCAGTGAAAGCATCCCTACACTGATGAACAAAATCAAGCAACCTGTGCATAGGCATCCCCTTTCGACCCCTGAACCCCTCTGTAGTTGTCACTACAGATGCATCCCTTATGAGTGGGGGTACCCATGCAGAAGGCTGCACAGCACATGTCCTATGGTCTCTGGCAGACCGCATGCTTCACATCAATGCCCTCAAACTCAGGGCAGTTCACTGGGCATGCCAAGAACTGTTACCCAATGTCATGGGAATACATGTAAAAATATACACAGACAACACCACATACATGTTCTATAGGTATCACACACTCTGTGCCTGGAAGCTATAGCATTTTGAAATTGGTGCCTAGCCAGAGACATTCGCATATCCGCTTGCCACCTTCCTGGGTCCTCAGTTCAACGGCAGATGCCCTCAGTGGGGGTACCCATGCAGAAGGCTGCACAGCACATGTCCTATGGTCTCTGGCAGACCGCATGCTTCACATCAATGCCCTCAAACTCAGGGCAGTTCACTGGGCATGCCAAGAACTGTTACCCAATGTCATGGGAATACATGTAAAAATATACACAGACAACACCACATACATGTTCTATAGGTAAAAGAGGAGTAAATACGGGGCCCTTGTGGTAAGTGGCTGTCTGTAGTGTGTGTTTGTGTGGGGGGGGATTATTTGCTGTGTGCTGAGCTTGTGTGTGTGTGTGTGTGTTTGTTTGTTTGTTTGTTTGTTTGAAGTAGAGTCTAAAAAGGTTTGAAATCTAGAAGCCTCTGTTAATTCGATGGGGTTTCCCAGATATAGATTTATTTGCCACCTCAATCAACAAAAAATGCCCAAGTTATTGCTCCAGGGCGGGCATGGGCAAAGAGTCCTCCGGGGATGTTCTTGTTATAACCTGGAATGCACTCCTACATTACGCTTTTCCCCCATTTCTTCTCCTTAACAGAGTCCTCATAAAGATTCTGAACAACAAAGCAAAAGTTATCCTCATTGCACCCTGCTGGCCCTGACAGCCGTGGTTTCCCCTCCTGCACAGGCTAGCAATACAGCAACCAATCACGCTTCTGAAAAATCCCAACATTCTCCATCAACCAGGGATTATGTATCCTCACCCACAGTTTCACACACTCCATCTCAAGGCGTGGTGCTTAGATGGTTCAGGGGCATAGAAATGCAATGCTCTCAACAAATCTGTGATGTCCTCTTACAAAGCAGAGAGAGCACCTGCAACAAGAAAAACATACGTGAGGAAATGGACTCAATTTGTTCACTGGGTAACCACTCACAGCATACGACCGCAAGACACTCCACTTCTTTATGTACTGGAATACCTGTTACACTTCAGACAATCACATCTCTCCCTCAGCTCAATCAAGGTCCACCTAGCAGTCATTGCAACCTTCCACGCAAGAAGGTGCACTCCCCTTTCCATTTGAATCAGACAATATACTTATCAGTATTTTTTCCAAAACCCACATTAATACATTTGAAGCTCAGATGCACACCCTAAATGTCAGAAGAGCTCTCTCCTCCTACTTCTCCTTAACAGAGTCCTCATAAAGATTCTGAACAACAAAGCAAAAGTTATCCTCATTGCACCCTGCTGGCCCTGACAGCCGTGGTTTCCCCTCCTGCACAGGCTAGCAATACAGCAACCAATCACGCTTCTGAAAAATCCCAACATTCTCCATCAACCAGGGATTATGTATCCTCACCCACAGTTTCACACACTCCATCTCAAGGCGTGGTGCTTAGATGGTTCAGGGGCATAGAAATGCAATGCTCTCAACAAATCTGTGATGTCCTCTTACAAAGCAGAGAGAGCACCTGCAACAAGAAAAACATACGTGAGGAAATGGACTCAATTTGTTCACTGGGTAACCACTCACAGCATACGACCGCAAGACACTCCACTTCTTTATGTACTGGAATACCTGTTACACTTCAGACAATCACATCTCTCCCTCAGCTCAATCAAGGTCCACCTAGCAGTCATCGCAACCTTCCACGCAACAGTGGAAGACACCACAGTCTTCGCACACCCAGTAACATAGCGATATTTTAAAAGTCTGCAGGCTCTATACCCAGAGGTGGCACCCCCTCAAGAGCCTTGGGACTTACACTTGGTATTAACAACCCTCACAAAACCGCCATTGGAACCCATGGCGACATGTTCCCTACGCCATCTATCCTTAAGGGAAGACATTCTTGGTAACAATAACATCAACGCATAGAGTGAGCAAGATGGCTGCCCTGATGGCAGACCCACCTTTCACGATCTTTTTTAAGGACAAGGTTACGATGCGACTGCACCCAAAATTCCTCCCGAAGGTGCACTCCCCTTTCCATTTGAATCAGACAATATACTTATCAGTATTTTTTCCAAAACCCACATTAATACATTTGAAGCTCAGATGCACACCCTAAATGTCAGAAGAGCTCTCTCCTCCTACATCGACAGAACAAAATCTTTCAGATTCTCTTCCCCACTTTTCGTCTCCATCGCAGATCATAGTAAAGGAAAACAAATTTAATTACAGAGATTGTCACATTGGATCTCAGAATGCATTGCTACTTGTTATTCGCTAAACGACCTACCTTCGCCAGTTCCGATTCAGGCACACTCCACAAGAGCAGTCACCACATCCGTTGCTTACTTGAGGAAAATCCCACCACATGATATATGTGCAGCAGCCATGTGGTCGTCAGAAAACATCTTTTCAAAACATTATGCACTTACCTCAGGACCCCTCCAGCATACCAAACTAGCAAAAGCTGAACTACAAATGGCATACTTACCTGATCCGAAGTCCCTGCCTCTGTAAGAAAATATTGCTTGTAGTCACCTGATGTGGAGCACCCCCAGGGACGCCTCTCAACAAAGAAAAGGAGGTTACTCACCTTCTGTAACTGACATTCTTAGACATGAGCGTCCCTGAGGGTGCTCTTCTACTTCGGAATGCCCTTATGATAACATCTTAATATATTATTTCCCGGGTTCCGGATAGAGAAGAAACCGAAGGGAGGGGGGCCACACATGCACGATAGTACTGAGAGGGGCTCGCGTGCACTGCGCATGTGCGGCCCCCGATACATTGCTGAGAAAAATCCGTCGAAGTGCTGGGGCGCTCAACACCTGATGTAGAACACCCCCAAGGATGCTCATCTGGAAGAATGTCAGTTACAGGAAGGTGACTAACCTCCTTTTCTTGTGTGTTGTGAAGGGTTAATTGCTTCTTCATTCACTTCCTCCACACTAGTCATGATTTTATAGCCTTGTATTGTATCCCCCCTAAGTCATCTTTTTTTTTCTAAAATGAACAGTCCCAGTCTTTTTAATTTTTTTTCGCATGGAAGCTGTTTCATACCTTTAATCATTTTTGTTTCCCTTCATTGTTCTTTCTCAAACCAGAGCTGTATGCAGTACTCAAACTGTGGGGCTACGTCTAGATTGCATCCCTTTCTCGTAAAAGGGATGCAAATTAGACGTATCGCAATTGCTAATGAAGTGGGGATTTAAATCTCCCACGCTTCATTAGCATAAATATGGCTGCCGCTTTTTTCAGCACCGGAGCTTTGCTGGAAAAAAGAGGGATAAGGGATCTTTCGGGAAAGGCTTTATTTTCTGAAAGATCCGCATCTAGACTGGCGCTTTTTTCCGGCAAAGCTCCGTTCCGAAAAAAAGCGGCAGCCATTTTTATGCTAATGAAGTGTGGAAGATTTAAATCCCCGCTTCATTAGCAATTCCGATATGTCTAATTTGCATCCCTTTTACGAAAAAGTGATGCAATCTAGACGTAGTCTGGGTGTTCCAGGACTTTATACAGTTGCATTTCAATATTGCCTGTCTTACTCTCTGTCTCTGTCTTAATAGTACATAATATTGTTAGGTTTTTTATGGCATTGCACATTGAACAGACATTTTCAGAAAACTGTCCACAGTGACTCAAGATCTTTTCTTGAGTGGTAGCAGCTAATTTAGACCCATCATTGTGTATAGTTGAGATTATGTTTTCTAGTGTGCGGTACTTAACTACATTGAATTTCATCTGCCGTTGTCTTGCCCAGTCACCCAGTTTTGTGATATTGGTGTGTAACTCTTTGTAACTCTGCCTTTACTATCTTTCGTAATCTTGTATTATCTGCAAACTTAGCCATCTTGCTATTTACCTCTTTAACAGGAGTAAGCCCAAGATCAGCTATTGTAATCGTAATGATTATACTCTTATTTATGTTGAAATTTGTAAACTGAATCTCTCTCTTTCTTCTAGCTATTCATCTGTCAATACCACATCTGGCTAGCAGCAGATACAAAGGGGATCTTGGTGCTCATTCCTGGAAATCCAATGCTCAACATTATTGTCAGCACTTTTATATTTGTGTGTGTGGCACATGAAATTTCTCAGATCACTAACGATCTAGCACAGATGGTTGTTCCTAAAGATAATGCAACTCTGCTTAGAAGGCTGCTATTTATAACTATTTTTTTTTCTGGACTCCTCTTTTTGTCAGCAGTTCAAGATCAATCAAGGCATTAACTTCAAGAAGTCCTTTAAAACTTACTTCAGGTTTACTTTTTGTCTGCCTGAAGAAAAATATTTAACTGGAGGTATAAAAAACTTACACAGTGCTACGCTGCAGCAGGACATCTAAATGAAGTTTATTGAATATGTATATAATGAAAATGTACATATTTTGTGTGGAAATACCCTACTCAAAGGAACATGAGAAACAAGAATGCACTGTAGAGATTTGCATGTGAAAAACACGTCTTTTTTTCTACTGGATATATATTTTCATTTGCATATCTGTTTTAAACATAACATGAAGTAGAGAAATGAGTGGGTTGGCAGCATAATTTGGAGATTACTGAATTAACTTTGCTTTGACACACCTAGCATTCTACAGTATACATAAGACATGCTTTAATTGTCTTCTCAAGAAACTTTTGTAACAACAAAGCAGTTTTGATGAGTGATCCTTAGTTAATGGTTATCTTTGCTAATTTAAAAAATGGAAGTTTATTGTACTGGTAATCAGGGTTGTTTTTCTAAACTTAGTGTTAACTCATTGTCTAAGGATCAGTGTTTTGGTGTAGCTAGTATATGGAACCCTTCATGAATTGAAAAAAACCCATCAATTTAAATGATTCCATTTAATATTCTAGCCAGGTTTACATACTGTTTCAGAGATGTTTTGTATTTTTTTTTCTTACTAAAGAAGTATTCTTTAGTACTAGAAATGTGGGATTTGTTAAGAATGCATACGTAATTTTATTTTGAATTTTCTACTAATGTGTTTGCTTTTTCATCAGTATTTTCCATTTATTGCTCTTTCAAACTCTCTATAGTTCACGATATTAATACAGCACCACTGAAAAAACAGTGTTGAACAATATTTTGGCTGAGTACTGAAAAGTTGGGAAAATTTCCACCCTTTTCTAATCATACCTTTACTCTAGTTAGATCTTACAGAGAAGGGTATAGAGGGACACAACAACCACAGACCCCCCCCAGATTGTATGTGACTCGATCTAGGTTTCCGTAGGAAGTTAGTCATATTAGCTCTTACAGTGATATCTTCAGTGAAGGTGTGGAGAACAGCCTTCCATGAGGAAGGGTGGTGGTTGACTGGTAATCTGGACAGCTGCAGACAATGGGTCCCTTTTTAAAATAATAATGAAATAAGGTTGAGATTCATTGTTCAGAAGACCCAGTTCTTACATTCTTATTTTTCAGTATCTTTCCTTGATAGCTCTGATTCAAACTCAGAATCAGAAGCTTTTCTTTATTATGTATCCTTTTTTTGCATACAGCATAGAACTGAAAGAAATAGCATTTCAGATTAGAACTGATAGATGGCAATTTTAAATTCTACAAATTCAGTTGAACTAAGGTGATATTTTGTTACATTAAATCACAGTATTACAGTTTGGTTACATAATACTTGGAGGTTCAGGTGCGTCTTCATTCTGTCCTCTTGCTGGCTACTGTTTAGCACTCAAAGGAATACAGTATTGTTTTCTCAGCGTATGTGCAATTATAAGTAACGATAAACAATATGAATTTTAATTTATACAGTAAGTGGTCTGATATTTATACATTTTCTGATGTAGTCTCAGTTGATTTGTGGAGTCTGGACTTGCAAAGCCTCCCATGTCTGCAAGAAAACTTTCCTGACTGTGAAAGAATAGCTGCATTTTGTTCCAGTAAAGAAAATAATTTCTGTACGAATCTAGGAATGAGAGGAAGATAGCAAGATAAAGATAATACAAGTCTCAAGAATAAACTTAGTGCACTAATTCAGTAACCTTAACATGGCAACTAGTTTTTTTGACAAATGAGAGAAAGATACTCAACATTTTCTCAGTTGTTTTCTTTTTGGACATTATTTCTAGTGTTTGAAAAGTCCTCCTTAGCCACTAATCAGTACATTTGATTTACTGAAAGACATGCTATAGCTGAGAAGTGTAGTGATAGTTGTTATGGACAGGATGTACAACCTACATCTATACCATTATTAGAAGTAAGAAAAAGTGAATTTGGGGGGATATTTTGGTTTTGTTTTTCACAAACTAAGCATTGTAGATATTTATTTATCTGTTGTACAGATTTTGTTAAAGATTTATTTTTAATGTTTGAAATAGTGCACTTCACTATTACTGTATGTGAGAGAAAATATATTTTCTTTTAAGGTTATGTGAAAATATGAAGTAATTTAAACAAATAAATGTATTGTGGATGCTTATTTTTATACTGTGAGGCGCATACATTCTGGTTTGTTAGTTTTTTAATTATTTAAAACAAGATAAGTGGTAACTTATTAGTATGCTTCATCAAAATCAGAAGTTCAGGTTATAGTGCATTTAAAAAATAATTTCCTACCCCTCACTAGTTCAACTAAACCTTCTCTATGTGGAAATGTTAACCCTCCCAGTCAGTAGACGTAACACGACTGTTCATATGGTTACAGGATGGGGGTGGAGAGAGAAAGAATCTTCCACAAGACCAAGTCTGACACTGTGGCTAGTCCATTGTCACTACCATAACCTCAAGGATTTAGTAACCCTCACATGTGCTGTGCTCTCTATAAATAGGATTGCAGGGCCTAACTCAGGTTGCCAACTTCCTTATTGCAAAGAAAGAACACCCCTGCCCTGCCCCTTCTTCAGTGCCCTGCTTCCCACACACTTCATTCCCCCTTCCTCCATTGCTTGTTCTCCCCCATACTTCCTTACTAGCTGATTTCCACTGGACTGGGACAGGGGGTTGGGGTCTGGGAGGGGGTTCCCAGGCAATGGGAGCTATGGAGCTGATGCTCAGGTGAGGCAGCATGCAGACACCTTTTCCTCTCTTTCTCCCCCCCCCTCCCCCCTCCCCGGGCTACTCCTATGCCTAGGAGATGGTGGGGCGTGCCAGCTGCTGCCAGGAGCAGGATAGGAAGCCTTCCTGTACTGCCAACACGACTTAATGGACTGATTAGCAGTTCTAACTGGAGCCTCCAGGATCTCTCTTAAACCTGGTTTTCCAGTCAAAAACTGAACAGTTGGCAATTCTAGGCCTAACTGATGAACTGGTGTAAATCGCCTGGGCCCATCCCTAGATCCACAGCACAAAGGGAATGCAGGCCCCTTAACTCAGTTTCCAGCATTTCTCTTCCAAGTATGTTGTTGTTTAGAAGCTAAAAACTGAGATGAAATGCAGACTGAAAAAAGTTGCTGCATTTCAACCCTTAAGCTACATCTAGACTACAGGGCTCCATCGACGGAGCCATGTAAAATAGTTTGCCATAGTCAAAGAAGCAGGGATTTAAATAATCCCCACTGACTCATGCCGCATCTAGACTGCCACGCTGTGCCGGATCAGCTGATCGTCGGCACAGCACAGTGGCCATTTTTATTTTAAGGAAGCGGGGATTATTTACATCCCCACCTCTTTGACTATGCCAAATAAACTATTTTACATGGCTCCGTCGACAGAGCCATGTAGTCTAGACATACCCTTATTGTAATGATGCAATGGCATTTCATTCCCCTCCTCCCCCCTTTTATCTTAATATATGGTCAGAATAGGGCTATGAATGTACGTTAACACTTTTAACTATCCCCAAAGTGTTCAGTTATTTAGTATAATTTTTATTTAGCTGTAGTTTTGTGAGTGCATATCTATAATATGTAAATAATGAAATATTAGGTTCATATAAGAGAGTAAACTTGTCTAATGTTGCTTTTTGCAAAAAGGACAGTGGAGAGGTGTGCTGATACCAAACCATTAACATAACTAGACACTTTTCAGACCATATAAAGCTCGTTTGTTACAGACTTGTCATTTATGATCTTCAGCTGACAAAATACGTAAAAATCTTGAAAATTCACTTACATTTTCCAGTGCTATTGTGTATAATCAGTGCTTTCTTATTCCTGTATCTAAACATTTTTTATTTCAGATGAACTGATAATATTCAACAACTAGTGGAAAAATCAATTTTCAATATAAATGCTAGTGTGAAACAAAACGGACTAATTTCACAAGATCTATCAGTAATTTATTTAAATTCAGTATGAAACTGAAATAGAAACTTCAGCTTATTTACTACTTTGCACTTAATATAGCAGTTGTACTGATGTTTTATGTATTGAAAATTTGTAATATTCTTCCAACAGGCCAAAAACTATAAGACAGCATAGATGCATCCCAGGTCAAAACACTGGCACATTCTGGACTGTGTAACTGTTCGGTCTAGAGATATTACAGATGTACACATCTGTTCCTTGAGAAGTACCAAATACTGGTTAGACCATCGACTTGTTAGAAGCATCTTCCTACACTTTGCACCAAAGCACCTCAGACCATCAAAGAAAATCAATGTGGCTGACAAAGTTGGAACAGGTACTGGAGACTGCAGTAGCTGAGGTCCCAAAAAATTCCACAGCCATTGAGGTCACAATATAGCATCAAAGGTTCTTGGCTTTGTAAAGTAGAAACATCAAGAATAATTTAGTTTAAGAATGATCCTGACATAGACCAGCACAAAAGTCCTACATCTTGGACAAGAAATCAACAGTGAAGCAGACCAAAGTTATCAGGCCAAACATACACTTTAAATTTGGCTAAGGCCAATAAAGTACCACTGTTTGGAGCAAATGTCTGCAGTGCTGCAGGAAGTGGGTGACAAGCATAACATGAAGGCTTTCTACATGTTGGACCTCCCTGGTCTGGCACCCCCGGGACCTGACTTGTTTAGATGAAGTTATTAAGGCATCAAGTAACTGTCCATGGGCAAGTCTCCAGGGGCTGACTCCGTTACATGTGAGATGCAAATGTGGAAGTGCCTACCAGGTCAGGAAACTCTCAGAAGTCTTTACAAGACTATATGGGAACAGGAAACCAAGCCCCATGAGTATAAGGGTACTTTCACAGTTCATCTCTACAAAAGGAAGGGAGGGGGGTGCATATCTAGCTGCAAAAAACATGATCCTGCATACCTAGCGTTTGGATTCACATATAAAGACAATTGCCCGCAATGCGTTATTTACTTGGAGATTTGGGGTAATGGCACTATGGGTCCATCAAAACTTAAAAGGCATTGGGAAACAAAACACCAGCAATCGTAATTCCCAATTTGAATTACGGGAACTGGAAATGAAGCTGCCCTTAAAGTGTCATTTTTTATATCACTTCACATTGCAAAATAAAGAAAAAATTCATCATAGGGGAAGACTTAATTAAGCCTTGTTTTTTTGGATGCAAGCCATGCACTTTTGGGATATGAAGTTGCCAAAAAACTGAAAACAATTCCTCTTTCTAATGATACTGTTTCAAATCGCATAGCTATGATGAGCAAAGACATTCATCAACAACTTAAAAAAAAATATATCAGAGATGTATGCTCATTGGATGAGTCTACTGATATTGTTGACAAAGTTATGCTTCTTATCTGGGATGAAGAAGAACTTGAAGAATTCATGAACTGTCTGGAACTGAAAAAGCGTACAACTGGCATCGAAATATTTTTACATGATCAGATTATTTCTTAAGTGCTGATTTTAAAATGTCAGCCTTAGTGATGTTAAATTCTCGGGAATACATTTTGGGAGAATACTCTCGAGAATGTTCTTGAGAATATTCTCCAATGCGAGAATTTTTGAGAATTTTCTCTTAAATACTTGTTAAATAGTTTTAAAAGAATTTTACTATTTATAATGGTGTCTTTCTTCAATAAAACTTAAAGAATCAAGAAAGTTTCCAATTGTTAAAATGAAAAATCGAGAAAGTAAAGAAAAAAAGACAGAGGTTTAAATTACTAGAACTTTTATTACAAATCTTCTGTTGCAGGATACAAATATTTTTAACTTTCTGGATTGAATCCAAGTCTAATCAGAATCTGCACTTTCCAAATCTGACCCATATATTTCTATCTCTTCTTCTTCCTCATACATATCCTCTTCTTCGACAACTTCTTCTTTCTCTTCAGCATCATCAATTTCTTCTTCCTCATTTCTCTGGTTCTGTTTCCTTTTTTCTCTTGGGGATTTAAACAGAGCATCATTTGGGGTCTTAAGAAGCTTTATATTATGGGCTATGAATGTCAGCTTGCCTGCCCTTTCTTGTGTTAACTTGTTTCTTTTTGCATTATGAATGATTCTGTAAGTACTGAAACTTCTTTCAGTTGCTGCCATTGTTGGTGGCATATTCAATATGTTGATTGCTGCTTTCCCTAATTTTGATCCATAGCAAATACCTTTCCACCATGTTACTGAGCCAGCTGATTTTGTTACATATGATTTTCCAAAAAAACTTTAGCACAATACTCTGCAAGCTCTGCAATGACTTTTGCTGAATGATCAGTGCCATACATTCTTGTGACTAATTTATTGATGAATTCAGTTCCTTGTATTTGTTCATTTCTAGTAAGGCACTCACCATTGAATTTTGGATCTAGAATATCTGCAGCATAGTGAATGTCTTTTAGAGCCATATCTTTTCTTTTTTCAGAACTTTTCATCACATCCTGTTTTTCTTGTTTGGTAAACAGGAACTTTCTTGTTTGGTAAGTGAACTTTCAGGAAGTAGCCTATCAAAATGATCGCTTAATTCCCTGAAACAGTCAGGAACTTCGCTCATTTTTGGCTGGTCAGATTCAAGCACCATAATCCATTTAACAACAGGACTTATCAGTGCATGCAGTTTTTAGACCCGTACCCAAAATACATCTTCATCAAGGATTGAATTCCTGGTACATTTGGTTGATATTCAGCTTCCAAAAGTTTGTTAGAAAGTGTGTACCTGGATGGCATCTTGTAAGATGGTCTTAATTTTTGCATGAAAGTAATCCAATCTTCATTTTCATCCAGTGAAAGAGGCGATCCCAATGAGAATATAGCTCGTGCAAAAAATTCATCCAAAGCTTTGTTTTCAGTTTCATTCATAGAGTCAAAGTAGCGACTTATAGAGTGAGACACCGTGGCTGAACTAGATGTGGAAGGAGGTGATGTAAATTCACTAGCACCATCACAGTGTTCTATAGATGTTGATGGCTGAGGTGATCTGCTTCTGGATTCTGAGAATTTTGTTGCCTTTTCCTTGATGTAAGCAGGAGCCATCAAACAATTGGAAATATGCTTTCTCATCTTTGTCGCATTTCTGATATATTCAGCCTTGCAGTACTTATATATTCGTATAACACTTTCTTTAACTGCTTTATGAAGGAAATAATCCCACACATCACCTTTAAGCTTAATTCTTCTTTTCATACTGATGAAAACACAATTACACCTTTCACAAAAGAGAATAAATGTGTTATTGCCTCTTTATATACTTTTTGTGATGCTTCCAGAAAGTTCCATAACAGTCAGAATTCCTGACTCATGAATGTTCTAGAAAGTTCCATAACATTCTGAAACGTTCTATAACTATCTTGAATGATAAAGAAAGCTCTTTAACATTCAGGGTGTTCTAAAAGATGAATACAATATATTTCAAGAGGAAATAAAAATTTAGAAATTCTCAAAAATTCTCGGGAAATAATCTTTTGGAGAATAGTCTCTAAATATTCTCATTCTCAGAGAATATTCTCCAGAGAATATTCTTACTTCACGTCACTAGTCAGACTATGTATTTCAGTTTGTACTGATGGTGCAGCTAATATGGATGGTAGGCATGCAGGATAGTCACAAAAATGAAGCCAGTAGCATCAGATATACAAAGCACCCATTACATTATACATCGAGAAATGTTAGCAAGTAAATGTCTTAAGTGCTGAATTAAATCAAGGGCTAACAACAGCTGTTAAAACAGTCAATTTCCCAAAATCTAGCTCTCTTAATTCACAGCTGCTTGCAATCTTAT